ACTTGAATCTCCTCTTTATGATACGGGTCAACAATTCCAGGATATATAATGAGTCCCTGTAAAGTTAAGGAGCCACGGCCCAGAATAAGCCCAATGGTGGCAGGGGGCAAAGGTCCAGGGGAATGGACTGGGACCGGTTGAACATTCATTTGGGGCATGAGTAAGAAGTCGGAGGCGGCACGCAAGTCCATTCCGGGGGTTCCTCGGAAACCTCTACTTCCTCTTGATTGCTTTTCTGAAATTGGTTCCCATATTTCTGAGGGCCCTGGGACCATGGGCCCCGTGACCCGTTTTTTGATTGGGGTACCTTGGGTTCTTCAATAGGGGGCAGAAGCCTCCCTTTTACATCCCGGACTGACCTGCATTCGCTAGCCCTATGATAACCTTTACCACAACGATGGCAAAGCTTCGATTCTCTTGTTCTTTCAGGGGCTTGACAATCTTTCTTAAGGTGCCCCATTCTCCCACAATTAAAACAAGCTTTTCGACTAGATAAATCTCTACGCCTGTGCGTTTGTAAAATGGCGGCAGCTAGTCCTGCATTGGTTAGGGGTCCCCCAGCTCCCTGCACACTCTGAGCCAATCTTGTAAACCTTTGCTTTTGCGAGGGCGATAGCCGCTCGACATTCCTGGGTTGCTTGTTCATAGACAAGTTGCTCAATCAGGGGCATAGCTTGTTCTGAATCACCAAAGATGCGACTGGCGGCCTCTGTCATTCTGGCCACAAAGTCTGAAAATGGCTCTTGGGGTCCTTGGACAATCTTTGTAAGGTGTCCACTGGACTCTCCCCTTTTTGTGAGGGCCTTCCATGCTTTAATAGCGGCGGCCGACACCTGACCATAGACACCCCAGATGTAGTTGGTTTGATTAAGGGCATGTTGACCCTGACCTGTCAGCATTTCAAATGTCCACTGCCTCTGATTCTCATCTTCAGCCGTGGCATTAACTCTAGCTTGTGCCTGGGCTGCATCATACCAGAGAGCCTTCCATTCCATGTATTGTCCCATGTTGGGAAGCACTGCTTTCACTGTCGTCTGCCAGTCAGTGGGAGTCATGGCAAAATTAGCAAGCCTTTCCACCTGTAATGTGGTAAAGTTAGCATTGACCCCATAATTACGAACGGATTCGGCCAATTCTTTGATTTGATTGTAATCTACAGGGGTATGTACTCTTCCGCCTTCCACATTCTCGAATACTGGAAAAGCTACTTGTATTTTTCTCCGTTCCTCTAAAGGTAAAAAGGAGTCAGTACCAGTATTCAGCCGAAGCTCATACTGCGGAGGCGCTGAGGGGCGTGAGCCCGCCGGATTTATAGGCGGTGGCCTCACATTCATTTTTGTTTTCAGTGGCCGGTGTCTATCAGGGTGATATCTTTCTTCCTCATACCGTGCCACCTCCTCCTCTAGACCACCTTCTTCGCTAGAATACAGAGTGTCAGAATCAGAATTATCTAGCTCCAAGGCTTCTAGCTCTACTGTAGGGTATAGACTAGATTCTGGCTTTTTTTTTTCTTAGATTTGTTAGGGGGTGAATGATCACTCCCTTCTTTCTCTCCCCCTTTCTTAACTTCTTGGGGAGGGCCTTTTTTCTTAGACATGTCTTTCCTTTTGCGAGCTCCCATTCTCTCACTCTGTTCAGTTTCTGACATGCTATCCTGAACTTCCTCTAAGGTTCCCTGACTTTCTATTATAGCAGGGTGACAGGCCTCATCCTCCAAGCAGTTTTTAACTAGCTTCCAAATGGCTTTGGTACCTAAGTGGAGATCTCCTTCTGCATGCTTCCTGTCTAGTTCTTTACCTAGCTTGTTCCATGAGGCCACAGTGAGGGACCCGGAACAAGCATACCATGGTGCCACTCTATCTACCTCCTTCACAAAATTTTGAAGTGTTCGTGGTGCAATTTTAAGATCTCTTTGTTTTAGCACAGTCTGTAGGGCAGTAACCACTGACTGTGACAACCCCATCGCGCTGGCGGCTTATCTAAAAAACGGCGCTCAACTCCGTTACCAGACTGACAGCACCAGACTGACAGCACCAGACTGACAGCACCAGACTGACAGCACCAGATCTGTCAGCACCAGCCACGATGAAGGAGAAGGACAAACAGGACTAGCACCAAAGCCTCCACTGACCCGTCCCACGGTGATGACAAACTAAGGCCAAAGTCGAGAAAGGGGTGTTCAGGATAAAGCATACCTCTCTGAACTTACGTCCCTGCAGTTCTGAATCCGCCCCGTCTTCCGAGGGGTCTCCCGCGGCGCCGGCGATGTTGAAGAGTTCCCGGGTTTCGGCACCAGATGTCCCGCGCTACCGTCTCGCCAGCAAGAACGACGCAGAACACTCGGATCCTTCTGCAGTAAAGCTTTAATGCATCTTGAGAGATAAATGATCAGCTTCTTAGAGGGAGACCCCAAGCTAAGAAACCCAGCCCCTTATATAAGCCTAGGAGCTCCGAGTGAGACGTGTAGAGCCGGGATTGGTGGTTTGCACATCACCCCAGATGACGCCACGGGAGAGGCACAGCTTAAACGGTTAACTCCAACTGACAGCAGATGTCAGCGCCATCTTCTAACGGTTAACTCCAACTGACAGCAGATGTCAGCGCCATCTTCTAACGGCAATAGCGATAGCGAGGGCGGCTCCTCACAATAAAGCATAATATTTTCCAATTTTAGAATAAAATTGCAAAAGAAGAGATATTAAGAAGACTCACGAAAAAAAAATGATAGGTGGGAATCAGGAATGCATGAATTATTCTGCCATTGCAGGTGACTAGAAGCCTGATTTACAGATTCTAGAGAAAGAAAGGTACTTTGCCCTGGAACTTTCAACCCAGAATGTCAATTCAAGGGTGTGGCATTTTCAGTCATTTGTTGATGAAATACACTCACACACACGCACACACACACAAACACGCACGCACGCGTGTGCATGCATGCACACATCTGAAAGACAAACCTCAGCAAATTAAGTAGCCACATAAAAGACATGGGTGATCATGGCTGTCCCTCAAGGACAGTGAGAATTGAGCTGAGGAAATAGGGAACCAGGAGAGGATATGAAATTTCTGTAATTACATCAGTTACTAAAGGTGTAGGTTCTATCAACTGCCCTTTCTAGTTATACAGAAAGCCAATTAATCTCCTCCACAAAGAAAAAAAATCAATGCTCTCAACACTGAAGAAATATTTGCACAGTGCTAGTGACTTACGCATCATTAATTCAATCCAAAATGAAGGCAGCCATGTTGGGAGTTGGGAGGGAAGGTCAGGGTGTGCTTTAACTCCTCTGCCTCCAGAGGAAGAAGTCTAGAAAATGTCTGAAGTTAACAAAGCAAGAGATAGCATCCAAGTGTGGACACGGATGCCCAACTAAACATGCTGAAGAGCTGAAGAAGCATCAGCACACTGTTGGCCAGTGAAGATAGGTTAGAAATGGAAACTCCTGCCTAAGCCTCGACGTGTCGTGTCCACATTTAATAGAAGCGGATTTTAAAACCTTGGAAAAAACAGTGTATCAAAGCCGATATTGATGAACCAATTATAATGTTATAATTTACCTTCCCTGCCTTATAAAAGCCATGTGCTTTCTGTGACCTCAGGTCCATGCGGACCTATGCCCCACACTGACGGATGTCTCTCCTGAAGCTGCATCCTGATGCTGGGTGCCCTGCGTGGCTGCTTCTCATGCCAAGTCCTTTCCCTTAGGTGTTGGGGAATAAATTTGTGAAATGTGCTAAGGCCCTTGTAAATGTTCTTAATCTTTAGATGCCGAAGCAAGCTGTGCCGCGTGCAGCAGACTTGTATCCTCATTGTGAATAAAGGAAAGCGGTTGCAATATAGGAACTTGGATTTTATGTAATATGTTCCTGTATTGTGTCCGTTGAAATGTTCTTGTCTTACCATAAACAGGAATGCAGGGTAAAAAAGGAAACTGTTGCCAGTGCACTGTAATGTAGGATGGCTACAATAGGAAGGAAGCAGGGTGTGTGTTGTCCAAATGCTCTCAGTGTACTGTAAACACCAAGACTTCACAGTCATCAGAGTCCATCTGTCCTTCCGGGAGGATGCACGTCTGTCTTGTTAGTGTAAAAGGAGGGTCTGCTTGGGAGTCCCCCTCAGTTTCCTGCCTTAATCTTCTCCCATCCCCACATTAGGCAGCAAACCCAGGATTCCAGGCACACCAGGCAAGCTTTCTTTTCATCAGACCACACCCTCTGCCTCCTGTCTCAATAAAAATTATTTACTTTTATTACTGTAAGTGGGTGTGTGCAATTGAGTACAGGTTCCCGAGGAGGTCAGAGATACCAGACTCCATGGAGCGGGAGTCACAGATGGTTGTGAACCGCATGGCGTGGGTGCTGGGATCACACTTGGTTCCTCTGCTCGAGCAGACGGGGCTCCTGACGTCTGGAACCATCTCCCTAGACCCCTCCTGCCTTCATTTCTAATATAGAGCAGCGGCAGAAAGTGCAGCACACGATTTCTTTTAGTTGTAATGTGTAATTTTTTTATTGTTTTATCTTTATTTATTTATTTTGGTCATATACAGTCTGTGATCTGGCATATTTGAAGTAAAGCAGGAATACATTCATACATACATACATACATACATACATACATACCTATTGTACCAGTAGAGTAGATAGTAACAGCTATCCGGTTTTCTTCTTTGCCATAAGTAAATTTAAACAGTATGCAGTCATGTGCCCTGTGGTGATATCATCAGTCAGTGGTGGTCCTCAAGGTGTAGCAGCCATAATTTGTGTATAGGACTCTGTAATGTGTGTTCACTGTTGGTCACTCAATGGCACCTCAGAACGAGCCCTCCCTTGGTAAGTGGTGCCTGGCCGTGTTTGGAAAGCCTGACCCATGCTTCTGACTTGTTTATTTCATTACCAAAATATAATTATTACCTGACCATGTTGTAAGAAATTAATAAGTGATGGCAAATATCCCATGACCAAGTCTGAGTGCATTTCTGGTTTTCTCTGTTGTGGAGACCGGCACACAGCCATTCAACCGCGCGATGCTATTTAACGTGGGTTTCAAAGAGGCCATGAAAGACGGCGCCTGGGACTGTGTCATCTTCCACGATGTGGACCATCTGCCTGAGAATGACCGCAACTATTACGGATGCGGAGAGATGCCGCGTCACTTTGCAGCGAAGCTGGACAAGTACATGTACATGTGAGTCGATTGTCGGCTTTGGATGCTGTACAGTGTGCTTGTGGCCTCGATCTGAGACTGCTTGGAAGCCTGACTGTCATCCCTCATTCCAGCATGCTCTAGGTGGCCAGGACAAGGACTAGTTTGTCCAATTGGGTTGAGTGTGGTGTGGCAGGGCGTTGGGGGGGGGCACCCGGCTCCTGTAGAATGCACATAGATTTTTAAGTTGGGTTCTCACCGACTCTTCAGGGCTTGCTTAGTCACATGTCCCTTCTCAAGCTTGTTTTCCTCTTCCTTGGACAATAGAGCCCGTTTGTGGGGTTGCTCTCTGGGATCACATACCCTAATCCTGAAGTATGCTAGCTGTGTGACCTATGCAGCCCCCCACCTCCACCCCAACCCTGCCCCCTTAGGGTAGGGCCCAGACCTACCTTTCTGAAGACCACATGCTCTGTAATCATATGAAGTAAATAACCCTGTCTTCATCAGTCTTTTTACATCTGAGTTTTGAACCTGGGGTTTGCCATGTGGTTTAAGTGGATTGCCTATCCCCAGACCTGGGACCACTGGCACACACCTCTGTGCCCAGCTTTTTATGTGGGTGCTGGGGACTCAAACTCAGTGTCTCATACTTTCATGGCCAGCATTTTGCATACTACATCATCTCCCCAGCCTCCTGTGGATCTCTTTATTATGTAAATAATTGTTAATCTAAGTATGAAATCTACAGCAGCCAAGTCAAAGTTGCTGATCCAGTAGTGACAGAAGGCTTGAGGGAAACACAAGCAGATGACTCAGATAGGAACGTCTTAGGCCTTACCGTGGATAATGCCACCTCATTGTAACCAAATACCTGCTTTTCTCAAAGTGCAGTTTTGAGGGGGATTAAGACAGGGTTTCTCTGAATTGTTTTTGGAGGCTGTCCTGGAACTTGCTCTGTAGACCAGGCTGGCCTCGAACTCATGGAGATCTGCCTGCCTCTGCCTCCCGAGTGCTGGGACTCAAGGCGTGTGCCACCAACGCTTGGCTAAAGTGTAATTTCGATTGGCAAATATCCATTGCACACACACAGTGACATGAAGATATTCTTGTACAGATGTAGCACACCGAGGATTCTGTTCTCCTTCCTTCCTCCCTCCACTCCCGACTTTCTCCTATGTAGACAGTGTAAGATAAGCACTATTAAGATTTTTTTAAAAATATTGATATTCTTTAATGCACTTGGGATACTTTCCTTTAACTTAGACTTATTTCTGTTGTGTACAGAATACAACTCCCAAAAGCTGTCCTCTGATAGTGCCCCCTCCGTAGGCACACACACAAGTAAATACATGTAATAGACATTCGAAATGTTTCAGAGTTTGACCAACTCCTTGGAATCTGAGCTAGAGAAAGTAGGGAAAATAAAACAAAATAAGGTTTTTTTCCCCTAAATACTAGCCCATTAAACAATAAACATATTTGGGGCTGGTGACATGACAAGGTGGTAACCGTGAGAATCTGAGTTTGATCTCTAGGACCCACATGGTAGAGGAGAAAAACCAACTCCTACAAATTGTCCTCATACAAGGACTCCTACAAAAACTGTGACCCTCTACAGGTGCAGCATGGCATCCCCCCATAATGAATATCTGTGAAAATGTTTTTTAACATTTATATAAATACCCATGTGTATTTTATGAGTTTAATCCAAAAAGGTAAAATAATTTTAGAAATAGACAGAGTTCATTTGTAAATTAAACATGTATTTCTCCCTGATTTAAATTTATCCTTTTCTATGTAACAAATAATATGCTTATAATAAGTAAAGTCAGTTAATATTTTAAATTGCTTTTAGTTTGGAAAATCTAGCATTGCACTGGCAGTTACTAACATGTCTAAATGTGTTTTTGTGGAGAATATTATGTGATTTTTGAACACTGGGTTTTGAGTCATAAGATAAAAATACATAGCCGGGCGGTGGTGGCGCATGCCTTTAATCCCAGCACTCGGGAGGCAGAGGCAGGCGGATCTCTGTGAGTTCGAGGCCAGGCTGGACCGACAGCCTCCAAAACAATACAGAGAAACCCTGTCTCGTAAAACCAAAAAAAAAAAAAAACCATTAGATTTTAGTTGCTACACATGTTTTTATTTTACATTGAATGTAAGTACTTGCTTTGCTCTTCAGGAGAATATTTCATTTCTCCATTCACATTGTCCACAATGCTTTTTCTGCCTAAATCAGCTTGCCCTTATGAAAATGGAAGAGTATGTCAAAGCACTTGCGGGGTGGAGCCCATGCGTGAGGATGGAGTCCTGCGTGAGGGGTGGAGCCCGTGTGTGAGGGATGGAGCACGGGTGACTGGCTGTCCTGATTGATGTGGAACCCTATATCGTTCTCTCTTTTGTAGTCTTCCATATAACGAGTTCTTTGGTGGGGTGAGCGGCCTGACAGTGGAGCAGTTTAGGAAGATCAACGGCTTTCCCAATGCCTTCTGGGGCTGGGGAGGAGAGGACGATGACCTTTGGAACAGGTGTGTGGAGGCAGAAGTTGCTTGGTAACTAAGGTTCTAGGTTCCGTCTGTATTTTGTAAATCACATTTGCCTCTTCTAAGAAAGGAGACTTTGGGCTGGGAAGTTTGGAGTTCCTAAATCTGCTTTTGTTTTCCTTTTTTATTTTCTTCTGAAATTCATTCAATCCATTTTATGTTGCCTTGCAGAGTTCACTACGCTGGGTATAATGTAACCCGGCCAGAGGGGGACTTGGGAAAGTACACATCTATTCCTCATCACCATCGGGGGGAAGTACAGTTTTTAGGGCGGTAAGTTCATTGGTCATCTTGGGACTTTAGGGCTTCAAAATCAATATATTGCATGTTACAAAAAGAAAAATAGAAGGAAGTTACTTCCATGATCAAAGGCCTTTTTGGCAAATGTTTTTGAATTGCAGCTACAGTGTGTGTGTGTGTGTGTGTGTGTGTGTGTGTGTGTGTGATATGTGTATATGTAGAAACGAAGACAAATGTAGACAATACATGTCTATATTCATATCTAGTTTACTGCCTTTTTTTAGGTATAAATTACTAAGGTATTCCAAGGAGCGTCAGTACATCGATGGATTGAACAATTTATTATATACGCCCAAAATACTGGTTGATAGGTTGTATACAAACATATCTGTAAACCTCATGCCAGAGTTAGCTCCAATTGAAGACTATTAAAAGAAGTATCTCGTGGTGGGATGGACCACAGTGCTGGATCGCGAACTTGGCTTGGAGTACACTCTCCATGGAGGTTAGAGAGCGACATGTCTCAGTGTCCCAGTCTGTGAAAAGAGCCAGCAGTCTTTATGTTTACAGCTCGGGACTCCATACCATCACACTCCCCTCTCCTCCCTGCTTTGGGGCAGCCTCCATGGCAAGCGTTGTAAGAGACCTGAACCCATGGCTTGGGATTGGAAGTAAAGAGAGCTCCCTACAAAGAGAAGATTTTTATACTGAAATCTATAATTTAATTCAAGAGAATGCTTTTATTTCCGTTCAAAACATATTTTGTACATATGTGATGTAAATTAAATGTGTTCAAATTGTTGAAAAATAAGATGTCACAATTTTGCATGTAATTGGTTATGCCTTCGTTGGACTTTTATAGACTTTTTTTTTATTTGCATGGGGGAAAAAACTATGTAAATCTCTGTCTTGAAACAAAGATTAAGCCTTGTATGGACTGAAGGGAGTGTCAGCGATGAACAGACGCTACAATAACTGTTGTACTGGCGTTCAGCTTTAGACCTTCAACCCCATGTGGGAGAAGGCTCAGCCCTCTGAGGGCTTGGGAGGAAAGAGCTTTTCTCCCTGCCAGAATGACCTGGTTTTGTTTTGGTTTGGTTTGGTTTGGTTCTGTTTTTCCTTGCTTGCAATATCATCAGATTTTGCCAAGTCAACAGCCATATTGTTTATGCATACTGCATGAGTATTACCAAGAAAACCTTCAAAGTTGTGAAGTGATATGCTCTACAGGACCTCTTCACATTAAATGTCTCTATGTACCTCCGACGTAAGTGTCAGGGATCTTGTGCCTCAAAAAAAAAGTTCCCAAGGTCGTGTTTATATACTGTATTCTTTTTTCAGTTTCATAATGAATAGCATTATAATTTCCAATTAAGAAGAACCAAAATAAAGTGTCTTCTTTTGAAAACATTTTTTAAAGAATGAACTTATGGAAAATGCAGTAGTGCTTATACAGATGGATTACACTATTAGATGAGAAATTAGATGCTCTATTTTTATGAAGATAAATGCTTAGATTAAAGTAAACTCCAACTTTAATTCTCAGATGTACACAATTCCCTTAGACATCAGCCAGTCATTCAAAATACCTTCTTTTCACCTTCAAGAAATCTCTGGTGTTAAATTTTCTCACTAAAAATGTAATTTAGTAAGCCCCCTCTCCTTTCTGTAGTGTTGAGGATTGAACCTAGGGCCTTTGGACTTAAAGTCAGTTAATTGAATGTGGATACTGTAACGTCTGAAATACATCTCACTACCTAATGGCAAGTCCACTCGTCCTCAGTTTGGATGTGGTTTTCCACGTCAAAACAACAAAACCCAATCACTGTCTTACTCTAGAATTATCATTTACAAAGATTCTTCGAAAGTATCTCATATGTTAGATCTTATTTCCCATACTTTCACAAATTCGGAACAGAACACCGTCTGTCTGTAAAGTGAGCCTTCCCCAAGAGTGAAGAGGAGAGAATTCTGGGTGTGAGAAAGTTTGCTTCCCTTATCTATCTAGTGTTGAGAGCTTACTTGCAGTTGTCATCTTCTGTCATAGTTTTGGTAATGCCAATGGCCACAAACCAAATCATAGAGTAACTAAAATCCTTACTCTTATCTGCCATGAAACCAATCTTTCCATGTTTATTTCTTAGAAGTCATTCTAAAAAAGTTACCTTCTAATTTTTTTGCTACTCAAAAGAGTGAAAAATCAGAACTTTTGCAGATGAAGATATTTGTATGTTATCCACCTATTTTCTGTCTCTTGTGGCTAATGTATTGATAATTTGATGGAAGGACAGCGGAATGTAATGTTACTGTTGCTGATGGCTTCTGAAACAGGGATATAGGTGGGTGATGATCCCAGAGCTGGTCCCTCCTCACAGTGGTGGGGAAATTGACACCCTGCTGAATCTTATGCAGGAAATACATTTTGTAACATGGGGCTGTCTACATTGGGGGATGCCTTTTCACATGGATACATAGCTCACTGTTTCAGGAAAATTCAGGACCCCAGGTAATCCGCCTTACTCTCTTGGGTTAAATCTGGCATTAATATGGCATCAGGAATGGGATGTAAATATTTTTGCTGTATTTTGGTGTTGAATCTGGAATGTCAACCTGTAAGAACCACCTCACTACTTTGTTTTCTATTTTGCCTTTTAAATTCAGACACAGAATTATTTTCAGTTATGAACAGTGACCTATATATGTTCCCATGTATGACAGTTTTCCCCAGTTATCATGGTCCTATGACAATAAATCTCTTCCTTACATATTAGCAGAAACAGACAGTCTGGTTTAAGTACCCAGTGGTTTTACATCAAGGGTCTACTCTCTGTCGGCTGCCTTTCTAACTGTGGCTGCTTAAAAGTGTTGTGGAGTGTTTCTTCTCCCCTAAACAAGTCAAATGAAGAAAGTTGAAACTTCTCCGAAATAGGGAAGGCACTTTCTGATAACTTATCTGTCAGTTGTCTTAGTCACAAATCCAGTGTGGACACAGAGATGCTGGGAGGTCCTCATGGCCCTGGGGACATCATATGATGCCTTTGAACTAGAGAAAGAAATCATGACTGATGGGCTGCTTATCAAAGAAAGGGAGAAAGTACACCCATTCGTTGTAGCATTCTTTCTGGTTCTTAGTGAAGATGTTGTTTAATTCTTTGCCAAAACTAGGGTTTGAATAGGTAATTTTTTCCTTTTTTATAAAAGTATTACCTGTTGTAGACCTTTGAGATGGCTCACGGGGTAAAGGTGCCTGCACCAAGTCCAGCAACCTGAGTTTGAACCCTGGGACCCACACTGTAGAAGAGAACCTACTCCTGCAAGTTGTTCTATGACTTCTATCTGTATACGCATACCGGTGTGTACATACACACTGGTGCACTCACACACAAATGCACACACAGGTACACACATGTGCATACAAGAGCACACAAAAGTAGATCAAAAGGTAATTAAAATTAAATTTATATTTTATGAAATGGTTTTCACCAAGAAAATCTTATTTATAAAAGTTAAGTAAAAAATTATCTATTAAAAAGCTACATTCCTGTCCCAGCCAAGGTACTGATAACCATCTTAGAACAAAATGGAAGCAAAGCCAATACAGATTCTCCCTTTGGAGACTCTGAGATTCAAAGCAGACATTAAGTCATATTTGGCCTTGTCCTGTTCCTTTATATACCTGTCAGATAAATAGCACTGGAGATTTCTTGCCTTGGGTTTGCAGATTTGTCATTTGAGAAGCAAACTGTCACAGTGTTGTTTTTCAGGAGGTGGAAGTGTACTTAAGATTATTTATTACAATATGAAATACTTCTATGTAAGTGCATTGATGTAAATGCTAGTGATTCCTTGCGGTCTTTTTTTTTTGGTCCTGTTTTGCTTCTCATGGAAATGTTTGTACTTTTTTTATCATTGTCTTTTATGAAATATAATGTTCTAAAGACTTTGTGTGATGATGTCATTGTTTTCTCTCAGGATGTCTTTGGGATGTCTTTTGTTGGTCCCCTCAGTTTTGGGTGCACTACGGATGACTTAGTTGATGTTGAGGGTGCACTGTAAAGATATGGAACTCAAAGCTTAAATGCCCTTACTTAGTGCTCATTGTAACCCCCCAACCACACTATAATTTAATACTCGTCCATGTACTCGGTAACCCATAGTACCAAAAATTACCTAGCCTTGGTTGAGATGGGTCATGTGTTTTCCCCACAGATGTGAGGATCTGAGTTTGTCTCCAGAACATATGTAATGCCTGATGTAACATATCTCAAATTCCATGGTGAGATGGGAGATAGAGACAAGAGATTCCTGGAGGCTTATGAGCCAGCTGGCCTGATGTTTACAACAATGAGCAATAAAAAGGACCCTGAATTAAACACAGTAGAAGGCAAGGATGGATATTTGAGACCATCCTCTGGCTTCCACCTGCAGGGTCTTACATATCCCAGGTTGGCCTTGAACTCACTGTGTGGCTAAAACAGCTTAGAATGTGCTATGCTCCTGCATCCACCTCCCAAGTGCTGGGATTTGACTGGGGAGATGACCCAGGCAACGGCACACACTGCCCTTCCAGAGGTCTAGAGTTCAGTTGACACATACCATATAACAGGTGTGGACTAACATGCCCAGCCTTCAGACAGTCTTAAAATATATTTTGATGTCCTTGAGGTATATTATTAATGAAATCTTCAGTGTTTCAACTGGTGTTCCAGATGTTCTTGAAGGGGGAGGAGACACTCTCTGACCTTCAAAAAGTGTCTGTCTTCTGAATGTACAACTGATGTAGAGTGGGTAGATCTGAAGAGCACATGCCATCAATGAGGCTGCTCTTTGACCAGATGCGTGTTTCTGAGCATCACTGTTGAGGTGACCCTTCCAGTGGTAGACCACCTCCCAGCCATAAACGTGAACTCTGAAAGGGCAGTTGAAATGATTGCTCTTCTTCAGTAGACCTTGACAAATGGTAGTAAACTCTTGAGAGGGTTTGATTGACAAAGGTTTGAATTTGGGGATCACCTGTCATTAGCTAGCAAACAGTAAGCTTTTAAAGTTGGGTGGTTCTTGGTTTCATGAGCCACTGGAGGGTTGTGGGGATTATTCAGTAAACTAACACTTGGAACATGCCTGACATGCTCAACAAGAACTTCATTTGTCTGAAGCTAGCTTCTGGTTTTATGTTTAAAAAAAAACTTTTCTTCCATGCCAATGGCCCCGAGTTATGTTTAAGAAATATTTGGCAGGGTGTTCTTTTATTCTCAGAAATGTTGACAGTGGTTATGCATAATTATGCCAACAATTAGTAAAACTGGCAAAGGCCCATGATCAACATGTGTAGTAATCATAGAAGAAATGTGGCAAGTAACAGGTACATTCAGTTATCTGATCACCAGCTAATGTAAAAGGGCCATGTAAGAAGAAAGAGAAAGACCATCTTACATCGTAACCATGTCAAGTGAATATCATTGCATCACACGCGCGCACACACACACACACACACACACACACACACGCACACACACACACTTATGGTGAGAAGGCAAAATGTTCATGAGTTCTTTTTGTGGTGATCCCTCTCACACCTGGCCTCAATGTTTTCCTTATTTTAATGTGTTTTGAATATTTTGTAGGATCACAGGGCCAGCTTGCAAAATGGTTAATGAGGAGAATATTACTTCACTTATTACATTCAGGTACATTTTAAACTTTCTCAATTTAATTCCTCTTTTGACTCACATCTGTTTGTCAGTAAGAGTAGGTTTGGGAGTGAAAGTAGATTCATTTTGCAGTTCCAAGAGAGGGTCCCAGGCAGAGGAGAGGGAAGACTCTGTGCTAGGCACGTGTCTTAATCAAAAGGTACCAGAAAAAGACTTCGTTGAAGGGATTTTGAGGATTTGTAGAAATCCATACATCCCAGGACTTAACCTACAAAATCCTTTCTAGAAGAGCATTTGTCACAAGATTTTCTCTCCACCCCCAGGGAAGATGTGAACAACATCCACTCCCTCCTCTAAAGGTTCTAACCACAAACCAAAGGACATTCTGCCTCAGTTTACCCTGGGAGCCAATGAGCTTATTAGGGTTACTTACAAAGCAGGGGGTGATGGGTTACTGACAGGAGCATGAGTGACCCCAGCAAAGCAGCCACACTGGCAAATCTCCACCCGACAAGGATGGTGGCCTCATTGTAACCCCATAGATGGGTCCCTTACACCTAGTTTTTCCCAACTTATACAAGAGCTATGGGCAATTAAGGAAGAATTGCATACAAATGAATGGAAAGACTGGGCAGATACTCAGGTTAGGGGTTCTGGGACCCACCCACCCTCCTAGGAGGGAATGTTAACAGTCTTGTCACTGTCACGTTGCTCTCTGGAGAGTGTAGGCACAGCCTATCTCAAGAAGATGGTGGCAGTTTGGCTCAGAGGATAATACGTCAACCCAGGTTATAACTTTAGACTTGAAGTTCAAGGAAATTCAGCAATTTAAAAGTTTCTACCCATCCATGAGTGTGCGCACATGCTGTGTACAATGTGAAGGGTTTCAATGCTTCTAAGCAAAAAAACACAACAACAGGGCATTGTCTGTACAGAGAATTTTTATAAGGAAATAAAAACTATCCAAAGGACTATTAGGAAAAACGGGAGGAAATAAGTAATTATTTGTTAATAATGAGTTTTTAGTAGCTACTAATCTAAAAGATTCTTTTAAAAGTCATTACTAGAAGTGGATGTAATTTCACTCTATGCCCTGAAGCTAAAGCATTGTAATTACAATCCCACTGAGGAACAAATTGAACAGGAATCGTGGAAACAGGGAGGACACTTTCAAGCCGTTCAATTCACTTCCTTTACTTTTTATTAGATAAGAAATAGAAAATCCCCTTCCTCCCCTTCCTCCCCTCCCTTCCATTCTTTGTCTTGTTATATAACCCAGGCTGGACTGGAACTCACAGTGCTCCTGTCTTCCCCACACCTGCTCAACATCAACAGAGTTGCTGTCTGCCCACTGGGCAGTGACACCAGGCTTTCAGCGCCTGATGCAGCCCCTCAGACTTCAGAAGGTCCTGATTAGTCACCACTCTCCTTACCTTCACCGGCTTCCCCATTGCCCTGGATTCTTACTTTCTTACCAAATTTCTCCAGACTCCTTTCCTCAGTAGGACATGCCCCCGGTTCTAGCAGCCAAAGTGCCACCTTTCTGTGTATATTGTCAATCTCTGTCTCAAGTCCTTGGCACTTCACTGTTTAACCTTTTCATTGCTGGGTTTTGTGTTTACTTGCTTAGTTGCTCCTTGTAGCTTCTAAGGATCAGCAATTTGCCTATCTCCATGAGGTCCTCAGTCCCCAGGAGAACAGAACACGGCTTTCTATTTTGCTACCCTAAGATTTAAAATATTTTTTGTGACAATGATGACTGGCCTTCCAGATGGCCTATCTTCTCATCTTCCGGCCTTTCTTCCACTTTCCCAGCCCCGTGCCCACCCCTAAGTATGTGTGTGTATTGTGTACACAGGTGTATACATGCATATGTCTTCATATGTGTCAGAGGTCTGTGACGAGTGTCTTCCTCTCTCACTAGCCCCTTATTTTTTGAGACAGGCTCTCTCCAGGAAGAGAAGCTCATGGATTTGACAAGACTGACTAGCTAAGGAGTTCCTGGCATTCTGCTGTCTCCACCTCTCCAACATCAGGATTATAGGCATACATTGCTGCTTTTTATGTGAAGTCTTGGCGTCCAGTCTCGGGTCCTTACGATTGCATAGCGAGAACCTTACTAGTTGAGCGCTCTCCTTCCTTTCCTTTTTCTATAGCAATTCCATCTGAGTTCTTCTGTTGAACTCCCTACTCGCTGGGTGGGTTCCAATGACCTCGGTGGGACTCTGGCCCAAGCAGTGTCCAGGCTCCACTCTCTGGGCTCCCTTTTCACGGTTCTTCTCTATTTAGTCAGGCTCGGGGCAGCAGAAGGACCCTGTTTTTGAAGACCCTGGCTCAAAACCTTTCCATGGCCTGTTGTTGTCCTTTTGAAAGAAGAAACTCCTACTCTTTTGTCCTGGCTCTAGTCAGAAGGACATTTTCCATAGGTAGTTTCTACACATATTTTAAGTACTTGAAGTCACTCTAGGAATGTAGAAACTGACTCTGGTACATAAAAACAGGTTACTCAGAAGAGGTAAAGATTTCTCATGCTTCCGTGGTACCAACTCTTCCAGGTGTATGTTGGAGAGAGAACCAAACTGATCGGTCACAAGAACCAATTCTTTCATTCATTCGTTTGTTCATTAATTCATCCCACATATTTGGAAGGGATGCTACTCCGTGATGCTCAAGCAGTTATTACACCTATGTGGAAGGTGTTATTTTCCAGAGATTGGGAAACATATCTAATGTGCTTTCCAAATGTACTTTCCTGAGAAAGTGAACTGTGTGTCCTTCAACCCAGCACAAGTTCCCATGCACACAGCTGTTCTGGGTTCACCTCCTAGTCTCAGCCTTGGCCTTCTCTCCCATCATTCCTTGCACCCATGTCTATAATCTCCAGCAACAGCAAGCGATTGACTGCGGACCCTGGGCCAGGGAGCTCATACCTAGGTTTTATTTAAGGAAGCCTGTATACAACCCATCTCCTTGCACGCAGAGGTTCCGGAATGGACCTTCAGTATTTCCTTGGGTTTGCCAAAGACAAATTACCATCTGCTTTGGCTTAAAATTAGCTGGGACAGCTCCAACCAGAGAGGATGGAGACCTGGGGAAACAGAATTGATTCTAAGCTTATTTCCATTTTGAAAGGCAGGCAGGAAAACTAATGGAGTTTAGGGAGGCGTGTGTTCTCTGAACTGTGAAGTAAAGGAAGGAATTGCCTGTTAGATGAAGGTGTGGGGAGACATAATTTTGGTGGATAAAATACTGCTTGAGGCCACAATGCCCTTGGTCTTCTTGCTTGACAGGTGCTATCATATGTTGCAGGTAGGACTTGAATATTTATGACTTTTTTTTTTAGAGAGAGATGCCCCTACCCCTTTAGAGTTTAAAAACTGGTCTAATTACATTAAAATCTGTGGTTAAAATTGAATTTATTTTCTTTGATGACAAATCTGGTTGTGGTTTTGTTTGTTTGTTTGTTTGCTTGGTTTTTTTTGCCTATATTACTGTGTCCATCCCTTGGCATGTATGTTACACAAGGGCTTGGGATAGACGGCATTGTTGTTGTCAGACAGCTTCTCACTGTGTTGTCCTGGATGGCCTAGAACACACTTGCTTGAGCAGACTGGTTTCAACTCACAGAAATTCTCCTGCCTCCTCCTGTCTCCTGAGAGCTGGGTTCTGTTTCTTACCTGATTGCCAGGTAGACGTGGTCTAATGTGGGTTAGAGGGGCTGAGTTACTACGGGTTTGTCCCTTTGGTACTTACTATCCTCTAAAAATGTTTCAGTGGTTAATTTTGTTTTCTCCAGTTTCACACAGGTACACAATGTGATCTGATGCTCTCTTCCCTGCCCTCTCTCATCTCCCCACCCCTGTCAAAGCTCCCCACACTGCCACCAGCCCTCTTCCCAGATTCATGACTTTTGGTTTGGTTTTGTTTATTCCCCTTGGCTTAATGTCCATTGGAGCCTGTGGGGATACATGATTGAAGACATGACTCCCCTCTCTCCGAATCTGTCAGTAGTAAATAGTTCACCAGCAAGGGGTAGAACCCTGAACCCCACCTCCGTCATGCCTGACTCCTGATAGACCCATTCTTGTGCACAGGAACTGTGACAGACCCCAAATGAATAGAGCACTTAACAAAAATGCCTGAAGAACTAGTCCTTTAGAGTTTGTCTGTCTGCTCACTAAAGCTCATGGAAAAGGAAAACAGTTTATTTTCCATCTTTTGGCTTGCTTTTCAGCGTTGGGATAGAACCCAGGGCTTTGAGTGCTCTGGAAACATACTGCGTGTCTCCAGACCTCCAGACTGTGTGCTCTTAATGTCTGCAGCCCATCCCTCACATGTGAGTGCCTCCTGATCTGTTTCCACGGGCAACCATGAGCTCCCCATGATGAACAGGGTCCCTTTAAACCATGAGTCAAAAAGATCTTTCCTTCCTTAAAAAAAAGTTCTGGTCAAAAATTTTCTAGAATTCTTTCATAACTCTATATGATTCGGGGTTCAGGGACAGTGGGGGAAAATGAGGGAATAAAAAAGAAACAAAGTTTGAATGAAATGACAAGTGGTTTATTTAATAGGACTGTTTGAGGGCATCTTTCCAAGTTGCTAACACAGTTTATCAAACAAGAACACTGTTTCAGTGCAAATGGGCTGCTACTGCTTGACAAGATCCTCCTGGGCCAGGTACCTCACTCCTTGGGGTTGCTGACAACGGCAGTGGTGCTGTAGGAGTAAGGGCTGAGCAGGGCCGCGATGGTGTAGTGGCGATGGCCAGAGTCGTTGGCTGTGAAAACCACCTGGATGAAGGAGAGAGAGTTGCTTCAAACGGAGCCCAGAGGCAGGAGCCATAGCCAATGCATTTCCTGGAAGTTAAATGCTGAATTGATAATACTCATTTTATTATCTGGTTTTGAGGGGGGATGAATAATTGGAAGAAAATCAAATATGGTGCCTTGTTGTGTCTTGGGAGCCTTGTACAACTCCTGGAGAATTGCACGGGGCCTTTCTGTGTAAGGTTATGACCAGTCCTGGCCAGACTCAGCTGAGACAGAGTCAGAGGGCTAATGAGAGATTTTGTCCCAAAGTTTATGTGTGTGGCAGAGTATAGACAGGGTTCCTGAGAATGACATCTGAGGTTGTCCTGCAGCTTCAACATGCACACACACACACACACACACACACACACACACACACACGCATGTGTATCCCCCCGACACACATATGCACAGGAACATGCATAAAGCATCCACAAAGCAGAAAGACCTAGCAGTTTCAAAGAACATTTCCTAATTTTCCTTAGCGTGTGTGATGGGATCCTCTGGGGCCCTGGCTGGGAGGCAATGGCCAGCACTGAAAGACTGTAGCTCTTTAGGGGAGTTCATCAGAGGAGGAGACAGGCAAGAAGACCTCAGCAGCAAGCACTGTGCACCTGCCTGCACTGGAGGGGGGAGGGACTCACAGCCCACTTGTCACAATCCCCGGCTCCAGTGTGCCAAGCCGTCTCCTGATCCACTGAGGCGCTCACATCAACCAGCGGTGTGAGCGTGGATGTGTGGTGTTACCTCTGCATCCCTAGCATTTTGCTCAAGGCAGTTTTTCGTGTTTGAAACATTTGTTGACTGGGAGAACGATTTGGTTGATAGAGTGATTGCTTGACATCATTGAGCTCTGGGTTCAGAGCTCCAGCACAGAGTGACACAGACATCCCTGCTATCCTAGCAGTTGGGGGGTAGAGATAGAAAGACTAGCAGTTCAAAGTCATCCTCAGCTATGTAGCTAGTTTGAGGCCAGTCTGGCCTGAAAGAGACCTTGTCTCAAAAAAACCAAGACAAAATAAAAATGTTTGTTGATTGAATTCTGCAAGGATACCAAGTATCCAAACAGGAGTAACATGTTATGGGTGAACCTTACAAGTAGTCCCAGCGGTCTGAGACCTGGAGCAGACAAGGGTGTAAGGGCAACTAATCTGTTGGGGCCATATTATTTTGGGAATCTAGTCCACGCTGCCATGAGTTCAGGAGAGCCCAGATTTTCTATTGTCTTTTAGATGTCAGCCAATAGCTGCTGGATATCCTGGCCTCAGTGGAGAATGGCTCTTATTCTAAATAACAATAGACCGGGGAAAGACGAGTCTACACCCACCCTGAAGGCTAGTGAGACTGCTGGGGAGAAGGTTCCCGAAGGCTTGAGTACGTGCTGCAAAGGTGTGTCTTTAGGATTAAGGGGAAAATTGCTATCAGCCCTTTATACATGATATCTTCTGCCATTGCCCCCACCTTTGGATGGTTACTTAAGGTGATGAATCAATAAACTGGGAGCATTCAGTACTGACGGGCCCTGCCCTCCTGTAATGATCAGATGTCTGTCTTTTCTTTAACGTCATTGGATAGCTAGCCTTTCCTCATCCACACTCCCCCACTCAGGGTTGTTCAGCTGGTTCCGATCGCAGCCCCAAAGACGTCAGTCCGTGATGCTAATCCAGTGAGCAGAGCCAGTGGCCTGTGCTGCAGGCTAACCCTGCACATTGCCCCATCCTGCTAGAGTGTTGGTGACCAGTGAGTAGTAGTTAGATTACATCTCGGTAGAAGGAAGACTTTTGGCAACTGTGAACCCCAAGAATCCAACAGGTCCCTCTGGTTTGTCTGGTAACAGAGTCTGCTGAAAAAACTTAAGGACTCATCCATGGCCAGGCCACAGAGAATGGTTCCCTGTCACACTTCACATTTTGTCAACTCGACACCAACTAGAATAACCTGGGAAGAGGGTCCCTCCGTTGAGGAATTACCTCCATCAGATTGGCCTGTAGGCTAGTCTGTGGAGCATTTATTTTGATTAATGACTGATGTAGGAGGGCCCAGCCTGCTGTGGGCAGTGGGCACACAGACCTGGGCTGTATAAGAAACCACACCAGGAAGCAGGTTTCCTCTCTAGTCTCCGCTTCAGTCCCTACTTCCGGGTTCCTCCCTGCTTCGCTCCACAATGGACTGCAAACTGTAAGATGAAACAAACCCTTCCCTCCCCAAGTCGCTTTCAGTGCTGGGATTCATCATAGCAACAGACAGCAAAACCAGGTCACACGCAGAGCTATTTTTGATGGAATTCATTATCTCCAGTTCTGACCAAGAGGCCTGGATTCTATTTCCGTGACAGCCACCTGTGTGAAGTGACAGAGGAGCCAGGGAGACTGAGCCCAGTGAGAAACGAAGGTCACTAACAGGCTTTTGCTCATTGGCTTTGTGTTTTGATTTAGCTCAGTTTCTTAGAGAAGTTGGCTGAGGCATGGAAGGCACATCAGCCAGCACAGAGCCCAACTGCAGCCTGGGCTCCCGCAGGTGTCCCTGCGCCTTCACTTTCTCACACGTGCTAGTCATGTGACCTTGACGAGGTACTTAACTTCCCTCAGCTTCTTCCTTGGTAAAGTGGACATAAGGCAAGGCTAGCCCTCCAAAGACTGGTCTAAGGATGTAACAGTTTTGATGCAGAAACCCCTTTGCCATGTGGTGTGTGCTTGGAGATTTAGCTCTTCAGCTGTTACAATTTTGAATGTGTTGTCATTCTGTGCATTGTCAGGAACTGTTTACCCAAACCTCTGGGACACTACATGCATTCTGAAATAAAGAAAATGCCAGAATTTAGAGAAACCACACAGGGAACCCTCTTTTTGGCTATAAAATGTCGGTGGTATCCGAAGGCTGCCTCACAGGCAAACATTAATATTCCTTCAACAGAGAAATGAATATTCATGTAAATGGAACTAGCTGACCATAAGTAGTGTGAGTGGGTCTGGGTCTTGTTGCTCAAAGAGTTTTTGACAAACTCCAAAGGTTAGCTTCTTTTTGGCCGTAGAATGGGAAAGGGGCCCTGATTTCTTTTCGTGCCCTAGAGCAAAGTACATTTCCTGACCCTGAGAACAAACAAACCTAAACTACTCCGTGTGTCCACTCACCTCTGCATATTCGTGGAACGGGGAAATGCCGAGGACCTTCCAGTAGGATTTGGTGTCCAGCTCTACTCTGTATACCCCTTCTACAAACTTCTCGTCTGTGGTGAGCCCATGCAGCTCTCCAGATTCAGCTGTCTTCCTGGAAGGCACAAGAGTCCGGGTGGAGTTAGGGGGAAAGAGGGGCTACCACACGCAGACATGTGTGTACACGTGGTTGTGATATATACACATGTGTGCGTATGTGTGTATGTATGTACATATATGTATTTGTGTATTTTCTCCAGCAACTGAATCAAGAGGGGAGAAATTCTTATGTTTGTGATAAAATGGCAAGGAATTCATAAAACTTTATGTACAACTTGTTGTAGAGTCTAGTCTGTCTTATGAGAATAAAATACAGTAAAATGCTTACCTTAAAGTCTTAATTTGGGCACATGGGGCCACCTATTATCTTAGTGCTCGGGGGATAGAGGCACGAGGATTGCGGCAGGTTTGAGGGCAATTTGCTTTACATAATGAGTTCTGGACCAAATAGGAATTGTCCATTAATTGGATTTTTGAAAAGAAAGAAAAGCCTTAAGACCCAGGGGTGTTGCTCAGTGGTAGAGTTCTGTCCTGACATTTGTATACCCTGGAATCAATACACACACACACACACACACACACACATTCAGAGTTAATGGCTTGATGAAAATTCATGACAGTCCCTGAAAGTTGCAGAGTGACAGGCTGGTGTCCTATGGCACAAGGGTACCTTCTGGAGGTAGTGCCGTTTGTCATAGTAGAGATCCTAATAAATAAAGAAGAGCTTAACCAACTTTCTCCTTTTATAAAGTTAATCTGCTTGGCAATTCTTTGCCAACAAGAATACCCAGCGGCTTCTGCGTCCACACAGGCACCAGTTCCTAATGGAAATGTCAGAAACTGCGCCTCACTTAATTACAACCAAGACAGATAAAGTGGCAGTTGTTTTTAGTGACTCTGGCCATGCCTGTCCCCATCTCTCCACCTCTCTTTTGGTGTGTGTACAAGAAAGAAGAATCACAAGAAAGTCTGACTATTTGGGCATCCATTGTACTGCAACTTAGGTTCCACTAAGTGTCATGCTGTGTTCGACACTTACATAATCACTATGAAATTAACAAGTAGAAACACAGTTAAAACCGCACCAAAGAAAAATGGTCTTCCCAATGATTGCTGACGAACATTAGTGGTTCTTGCTGCTCATTTAAAACTTAATATGAAGTCTTCACCCAGGAGACGTAAGTGCTTAGCCGTTCTGCTAGGTGCTAAGGGTGTCTTAGCTGCTTTTTCTTTTGGTTCCTTTGTTCAGGCTCATTAGTAATTTCTTTGAGATTCTTACTAATGTTAAAACAGAACAAAACAAAATATACACACACACACACACACACCAATTGTTACTTGGCCAGCACAGGCGGGAAGTCATTTTAACAAGCCCGTGGGTGATTATGAGATTGACCAGCCCCTGGGTTTTGCCTTGCAGATCTCTGCTGATGTGTTTCTTCTTAAGCATGTGGCTGCTAGCCTTGCAGAGAGCTGTTGAGTGTACATTCAAAAGTGCCTGCTTCTGGTTAACGTCAGTGAGCTCCAGGAGGGTGCTTCTCCAGTTTCTTTCCTTTCAATAATAAATCAGCACACATGTGCATCCTTCCTAAATCCCAAGACAAGGACTCAACTCTTGAGCATCGCCCATGGGTGCCAGGGAATCTCAAAACTCCTGAAATTGCACATGTGATTTTATACGTGTTGTGACATGCCTCATTATGGCCACGGAGTCTATAATTTATACACACACACACACACACACACACACACACCACAGTCTCACACACACTCACTCTCTGCATTCATGCATGTGTATTGTGCGATTGTGTGTATTGTTTTTTGTAGTGTGTATGTGTGTACGCGTCTGTCCCATCCATCTCAACTCCAAGCTGGATGTCTTCCTCAGTTTTTCTACACACTGTTTTCTGAGACAGGGTCTCTCACCACACGTGAACCTACCCATTCAGCGAGGCTGGTTGACCAGTGAACTCCAAGGTCATCCTGTTTCTAAGCCCTCATCACCAGACTGGTGTTGCGAGCATGTAGTACCATGCTGGGGTCTTACACAGAGTGTGTGGATTCACACTCAAGCTCCCAGTCTTTGGAGCAGATATTTCACTGACTGAGCCATCTCCTGTCCCTAGAGACTATAATGTCCACCACCTTCTTCAAGAGGCCTGTGATGGAAAAGGGGAAGGCCTCCTGAAGCAGAGGAATTACTGACTCTCCTTTTTCCTCCCTTCAGTCCTAGACTGTGGTCTGCTTCCTGGCCAGGCTCAGCTAAGCAGAGCAGGAGAACAGCTGTCTTAAGAAAGGTCTCTCTCCTGCTGGGTGGTGGTGGCTTACGCCTTTAATCCCAGCACTCGGGAGGCAGAGGCAGGAGGATCTCTGTGAGTTCGAGGCCAGCCTGGTCTACAGAGTGAGTTGCAGGACAGCCTCCAAAACAATACAGAGAGAGAAAAAAAAGAAAGGTCTCTCTGCCTGCACCTTTAACCCTGTAATGTTTCCTTTTATCTTATGTGTATGATATTTTGCCCATGTGTGCATCTGGACACCACAGGCATGGTGATCAGAAGAGGGTGCTGGTTCCCCCAGAAACTGGAGTTACAGATGGTTCTGAGCTGCCACTTTGGTGCTGGGAGCCAAACCTGTGTCCCCTACAAGAGCAGTAAGTGCTCTTAGCCACCAAGACATGTCTCTCAGCCCTAGAGCTGGTACTCGGTGTGTGCCAGTCTCCAAGTAGCAGAAGGCTGAATGGAAAGATAGACCCAGTCCCGTGGCAGGGTGCTCTGCACGCTTACCCGGAGGCGAATGGCTCCCAGGTCCCCTCAGCAGTCTTTTTGAACACTTGAACAGCCACGTCCACAGCAGGGCTGCCTCGGACAGCATCCAGGACTTTGACCATCAGAGGACACTTGGATTCTCCAGTGCCCTGGGCATAGAGAAGACAAGAGAGGCGTCAGTGAAACTGATTGGAGTGAGAGGCTTCTTCTTTCTGGTGTGTGGATCTGGAACAAAACCAAAAGCACATGCTGATCCCATTAGGATAACGCAGGTGTTGCCAATTAATGAGCTCCTTTACTCAGTGTCACACAGGCGGCACTGCTTCCTAAGCAAGAGCAGTCTCTGCCTCCAGACACACTGCCTGCACCAGGGATGCGCTTAATGAATTTGCAGAGGGAGAAACAGGTCCTCTGAGAGCCGCAGCTTGATTTGTTCACCTTTCCATCAGAGCGGAGCCCTGGGAAGGTGCATGGTACAAAAGGCCAGAATGGTCTTTTCCTTGAGAACATTTTAATCAGCTGTTGCTATAGCAATTCTCTCTAGTGGTAACATAACACCCATATGTTTCCTGACCCACTTAATTGTACGAATTCACTCTTCTGGAGGACTTCATCAGATACTAGAATAGAGTATTGCTCCCCCCAAATAATGATCAATAATACATTTTGATTAGCTAAAAGAATCAAAATATAACCTTACACAATAGGTATACTATATATAATGTCTACTCAATATGCTAAACAGATTTTATGAGAATTCAATGTTAATAGCCCCACTGATGATGGAGCTTGAACAAAGGACTTTCCACTGAACCACTAACCCACATATACAGGACTTTTGCATCTTTATTCCTATGTTCATTTCATATTTTTATTATCTAAGGACATCAAGATACTGCACATTACTGACTCACTGAACCAACGCAACAGGAGAAAGAGCCAAGGGTCTAAACTCCAGATCTTCTCTTTGGAGTTGAATGGGAAACAAAGTCTCTAGGCACCCTTGTCCTGATAACACCAGCTGGTTGCCAAAGCTGGAGGAAGCCGCCTCTCCTTTACCTAAGGTGCACCCACCATGTCTGGAAAGACTTCCACGGGATCACTTACCGCAGGGCTAGCCTCAGACATAAATGCCAGTCCAGCGAGGCAAAGGAGGAACAGATGAGGGGACGCCATCGTGCTAGGAGCCAAGGGACCTCTGTGAAGGCTGCTCCCAAGTGGAGGGGTTTTTATACCCCCTCTTTGCAAGCCAAGCTGCTGATCCCTGCCAATCTGACTCCAAACCTGCTGATTCTGATTATTGACTTAGTCAACAAAGGGAGAATAAGTAACCTACACAAATATGAACCTTGTCTGGTGAGATTAGAGCAACGGAACACTCTCCCTATGAAATAATCTTAACTGGTCATTTGACCAGCCAGATCCACACAACAAAGAGATCTAAACCAAAGGAAAACAACCTGCTATGCTGGATGAGTAGACTTGAATTCTTGGGAATTTTTTCTTTATTGATTTCTATGCATCTTTCCCAGTTCAGTTTGCATACATTTTTATCTTTGATTTTATGTGATAGACATGTTGTATTGATTTACTTCATACTGGTTAACATCTGACTTCACAGGTTTAGACACAGTACATTAGCAAATATCACTGCATTAGGCTATGAGTCAACATGGAAGACCCCTTGGCAGTTAAAAAGATTATCTGGTACTCAAACTAAGTCATTTGGAAGCTTTGCTTTTTTGTACCTGTGTGCATGTGTGACAATGTTTTTCCATTCTTAGATGAGGTTCATCCCAACCCCAAGAATAATGGTGAGTTTCAGATTGCTGTTTTTGAGACTAAAATACAGAAATCTTTACTGAGCCTCCTCACTGGGAATGAAGGAAACAAGACACTGGCTGGTTTTTGTCAGAACTGTAATTTCTGGAAGGAAGTAGAGATGGCTGTGAGAAGGAGATGCTGTGCCTGCAGACATCATCATCCTCACTGACAGGTCCAGAAATTCAGAGATTCCATGATTCGCTGTTGAGACACTGTGTGTGTGTGTGTGTGTGTGTGTGTGTGTGTGTGTGTGAGAGAGAGAGAGAGAGAGAGAGAGAGAGAGACAGAGACAGAGACAGAGACAGAAACAGGGAGACAGAGTAAATTAAGGCAGGATTTTATCCTTATAGGGACGATATGCAAGAGATATACAGAAGATGTGTGTCTTGGACATATGTCAAAGGTAAGTGTAGCTTGGAACACCTAGAATTGGAGAGAAATTTACACGGCTGATAGAACCAGATTAGGAGAGGGTCATCAAGAAATCATGAAGAATCCCAGCTGCCAGGGAATGTGGAAGGGACAGGAGGGTATCCCGGAGTAAAAACACATGCAGAGTCTCTGGGCAAGAAGGCAACTATAGGAAAGCAACAGTGATCAGATACAGCGAGATGAGGATCTCTTACAGACCTACAGCTTAGAGTCTGCTGGGGTTGGAGGTCTGAATTCACCCAGACCTAGATCTGCTACTCAGTGGCCTGCTTGCTTCTGGCAGTGATTTCCTAGTTCAGACATCAGTTGACACATTTGTAAATCAGAAGCATCTGTGCTTGTCCTTACAGGGGCTGTTCTATGAACTTTAAATATGAGGTGATATAAACGCATTTTATAAACTAGAAAATGTCGTTTCTCTAGAATCTCATGCACTGTCACCGGGAGTGGCTTCACTATTTTCCATTGCTCAGCATGTGCTGGAAAACCCTTCTCTATACAGGAATCCCAAACGTTTGAAAGTTCTTTCACTACCCAGGAAAATTTCCCACCATGCATGTTAACTCCACAGGCTGTTGAAACCAAGAATTGCCTCCCTGGGATCTTATACACTGACAAAGCTGGGCTGCCACCTGCCCACAGGCACCACCGTTTCTCTACAACGTTGAAATGTTTGCAAAAATTACAAATTGAGCCATGTTGCCTTAAAAGCTAGACTTTTGGCTCATCTTGAGAAACTGGAGGATGGCGACAGTTGGCTTACATCCCATGAAAATAATCCGTGGGGGTCCCATATTGGGACATCTCAGTTTCCTGAGTTCCCTCCAACTCTGAGGCTGGTGACATTGCTACTGGTGCTGTCATGCTTCAGTATTTGCTTTGATTGGAGTGCACATTCTGGGTTCCTGATCCACGATAATGCCCAGTCTCTTTATACATTTGTTGTGATGGCTGGTCTTCTGACAAAATATTTTCTTTTGGCAAACGAGTATGGCTGCTTCTTTGAGAGATTCCCCTTCAGACACAGGACCTGGAATGCTCCTGACCCAGGACTTTGTCCTCTGGCTTCCTCCCACTGGTCATTCTCTTCCACTGTGACATGCTGAACGGGACACACACTCCAGATAAGATCATGTCAACCCTGGGGACATGGTGATAAGGCTTCAGTCTTCCTTGACAAGGGTGCCCTGCAGACAGGGTTGTGCCTGGAGTGCATTCATAACTTTTTATTCACTGTGGCAATCCCTACTCTGCATCTAATATAGCCATAGAGTATTCATCATAATGAGATACACTCGTTTATCAATTTTTCTTGGCTTGATTTGAGTTTTAGGGACAGTATCTCACTGTGTAGCTTTGGCTGGCCTGAAGCTCACTATGTAGACTGGGCTGAACTTGAACTCACAAAGATAACCCCAAACTCTGTCATTTATAAATGTTAATCTAAGTATAGGATCCCCAATTTATCTCTGACCATTGCATATGGTAGTTCGGAGCCACCACCCCATCTTGTTGACATTTGATAACTGATTCTATTGACCAGCGAATTAGAAAGCCCCGAGGGGCTTTCATTTCTTAGCTTTTTGAGCCAACGTTGGCCTAGAAACCATCTTTTTGTAAAGTTTCATTTGAAAGAGAGAAGGATGTGAAGAGAAAGGGAGCTGCAGGGAGGCTCTTGAGTGTGACAGGAAAAGCCAGTGACGACCTAACTCACAGGAAGATTGTGAGAGCATGTTTGAACAGAGGCTGGGAGAGCAACAGGTAGACTGTCTGGGCTCCGAGTCAAAGGTCAAGCTGTATTTTATGTGACGGCGAAGGACAGAATGGAAAATGGACAAAATAAGAATACATTCTTTGTCCAAGGCATGTGTGTGGGACAAAGGGCAGTTGTTCCCTCACAGAAGCCCATCCAGTGCTTTTTTTTTTTTCCGGAGAGTGAGTTTGTGCTGTAACTGGGCTGCATGGATACATGTAATTCTCAAAAGACAGGAAGGTAACACCTTTTTGTGTTCAGTTGAATTTGTCAAAGCTCTTCATGGAGGATAGTTGCAGGGATCCATCAAGAGGGATGAATTCATGTCAAAGGTCACCCCCTTCCTGGAGCCTCTGCTGTAGATGCTGCCTGTTCTGCGATAAACTAATAGCAAACAAGGCCGGCACCTGGAGAACACAAGAATCATTGGTGCAGGGTTTAGGTTGCAAGGTGGTGTCTTTCCTTAGCCCCTACCTGTTTTTCTTTACATTCTGGCTTTGGTGCTGCAGCCCACATGCTTAACCAAGGTGACAGACTAGTTTAGTGACAACATCCCTCTCCCTCCTACCAAATATGTGGTAGTTAATGAACAACTTTGGCAGGCCATTGGTTTGAGATTCTTCTGAATTCGCCCTTAAAGTGCACAGCCTTATTTGACACATATTTCATCTCCTGAATAATTTCTTCATTTGTTTTCTGAAGGTCCACAGCCAACACCAAGCCAGTAGTCCATAGGCCCTGGAATGCCGCTAATACTATTGCTGTAAGCTGATTAGCAAGAAGGGCGTTGGAGGGCCAAGTTCTTGGGCTGCACCTCATGGTGAGGGTGTTAAAAGGAAAGAAATAACAGCGCTTGGGGCTCTGGGTCTTCGCAGATCAAGGAATTCAATTTTATTAGCTCACCTTGAGAGGGGTGGCGAGTCCCAGAGGTTTGATTAATGCTGCTCGAATCATAAAGTCTCATTTTAAAACGATAATACTGATTTGATTAAAAGTCAGGTGCTCTTCTGATAATCAAGGATTTGGAGCAAGAGTCTTTGCATGCTTTGTGAAAATGTTTTCTAGGTGGGAGAACCCAGCTAAGCTCGCTTTCTTCATTGCTCAACATTTTTTTTTTGTATTGAACATACTTGTACCTGCCTCGTCTAGTGTGTCTTTCCTCCTGAAAGGTGAGTACACATTGAAAAGGACTTTCTCTTCTCCTCTTCATTCCTCTGTCTTCTAACCATCCAACTGAAGACTACCGTTACCCAGGCCACGGTCATTATATCACATTTTAGTTTTGCTTCATTGTGGTTTCAGTCTCTTCATTGAACTATGGTGGCCAGCCTAGCTGGGAGCAACAATTGAGAAAACCCTCGTGTAAGAATGTTCCCCATGTCATATCATGCATGCTGCCATATACAGTATTGGTTGCTGTGTTCACACATGTTTAATTACTTTATCCATCCTCACATAGACATTGGATGTGGTGAGAGTTCTGGATTTTAGAAGGCTCTAAAGAACCTCTTCCTAGTCTATATTGACAGAAGGGAAGGTTCAAGGCCCCTTTGTCAAGTAGATGGGTTTCTTTGGTTTCTCTTTGCCATTCCTTGTGGTTTCCAGGCTGTTAGTGAGTTCCAACAGACTTGAGATTGATTGGCATTTAGAGCCATCTGGCTGTCATCTGTGATGGGTTAGCAGGAGCTACGGTACAGTCCAATGGAGGAGAGGTGGTAAGGACCGGACAACTTTCCAGTCTAAACATGTCATTGGCTATCTCACAGTTTCGTCCGGTTTCCAAGGAGACTGTATTGGGCTTGGGGCAACAGTACCACCTAGGACTAAATACTTGATTGATCTTTTGTCTGCACGCACATAATCCTGAGCTGGTCTGTGGCCTTAATCCATCATCAAGGATTCAGGTTTTGGTTTTGGCCACTGCTGGTATCTTCTGACCTGGGAGGTATGCCTGATAAAGAGACACTGTAAGCTCAGTTAATTGAAAAGAAATGCTTCTGGGCATAAGTCAGTGTGAAACCTTCAGGTTGCTCATAATTTAACTCTAAAGGAAAAAAGACGTGCTCATTGAGCTGGAAACCATTGATGAATGGGCTAGAATTCACAGACAGAAGTGGCTTCAGGTTCATAAAGGGACATGATTTTACTTTTACTATCAAAGATAACAGTATCTAAGTGGGTAAGAAGAAATTGTGCTTGTAATTCTTTTCTCATTTAAGAGGAGAAGTGTGTGAGGCTCCAGCTATGAAGGGGA